GTTCAATCACTTTAAAGCTGCACTAATTCATATTTTTTGTGAACATGCAGAGAATGATCGACTGTGCATCTGCCTTTGTTCTGCATAGTTTAATTCATTGTGTGCTATTAGCCACAGAGGGCTGAAATAGACCGTTGGCCACTAGCTGGACAATGGAGCATCAAAGAGAGTGGCTATGTGTGTGTGTAAGTGTGTGTGAGTTTTTAAATTGTGGAGGTGGCGGGGCAGAGTGGTGTGGGTTTCAATTAGCACTGAAGGTTAAATGATATCAAAACCGCTTGAAGGAAATTTTGGTTTGATGCACAAACAAAGCAGGTAAAAACAAACAAAGAAAAAAAAAAATAGTCTGCTTCAGTACAATGCAGAGAGCAGGTGTAAATGCTTGGCACCCTGAGATATTAAAGGGATGGTTCACCCAAATAACAATAAAACATTTCCCAATTCTACAGATAGCTTTGGTTTGACATGTCAGTGTTTGAGAGTTTATCATCGCATTATTATCATGCAATGAATGACTGAAATTTTGTTTCCATTATAGTTGAGTGCAGGGAAAAGCACATGCACTAAAATCTGGACAAAATTAAACCAAAACCATCTGTGTGGGTTGATACCAGTAGAGGCAAGACAGCATTTTTTTTTGTTGTTGTGGCATTTTAAACAGCAGTGTTAGCGATAGCAATGGTACAAACTGTGCTGCGTTGATGTTAAATAAAGATGTTTAAATTATCTCACCATTTTTGCTGAGGATGCCCATAATTTGGACCATGCACGGGGAGTGTTGTGTCATCGTTCATTTTCCCTCTATGGGAATGTCAAGTTAAATTAATAACACAGAGAAATTCTGTGATAATATTGGAATTAATCGTCTCCCATGAGACAGCTGTTTGAATTCATTGTGTGCAAACAGCAATATAAAGAGGTTTCCTCAGTTTCTAAACAAATCAAAAGAATTAGAAAAAGAGTTGCATAATGTTTGTAGAAAATGTCAAAATGTCGATTATTTCGCTTTAGTTCTCTTGTTTGAATGTGACAGAATGCTAACATGGGAAAATACTGCTCTGCTTTAGTAAATATGTGCACGCAAATAAAAGAACAAATTAGAAATAAACTGTTCAACAAACAAGAAACAAGCTCAGTTGTAGAGGAGTCACTATTGCTCCACACTCATTCTGTGCCAATACGTGTACGTGTATGTGATCATATGTGTGCATGTGTGGGTCTTTGTACAAAACAGGGACGATTGAACAATTTTAAAACAGGTTTTTAAACTACAGTTACACTTTCTCTGTCTGGCTGTGAAACAGAAATTATCTTACAAACAAGGTCATCATTCAAACTACATCTAGGATTTACATCAGTAAAGGTCATGGGGAGAACTCCGAAAAATGTCATGCAATCTTTAAAGCCCCAATCCTCGAAACATTTGGGTAGAAAACAATAAAAAAACCCTCAAAATCAGCAAAAAGGCTAGTATGGCTAATTGCTATGCTTGGTATATTAACATCCCCCAAATGTCATGCTAAAATTCTGTTCACTAAAGTAAATTAAAGTGACATTAGAAATGACATTTGCGATTAAATGAATAAATGAATGAATTTCCTGTCACCTCTAAAATTGAAAAAAAAAAAAAGGTTAAGAAAATGAATAAATCACTTTAGTTGTACAAATTTAAATGACATGTTTTAGTCAATTCAATTATTAATATTATTTACTTTTCTTGATGTCAAATGATATATTATTACAGTTTACTCTTCCCCTTTCTGTGTTTTTATTTTATGTTGATAACTGGAATATCTATCCATTCTCTCAACTGGTTAGCCCATTCATTGTTGCAGCAGGGCTGGAGCCCATCTTAGCTGTCAGAGGGTGAGTGTGATGTACACCCTGAAAAGGTCACCAGTCTTTAAGGGCTTTCACAGTTCATGCCCACATTTTAACTGAGGAGGAATCTAGAATACCTCAAGAAAACATACGGAGCCACGGGGAGAACAATTGAAACAAATCGTTAGAAACATGTCGAAGCCTTCCTGATTTTCTAGTGTTTTACATATTTGTCACACTTGTTTCAGATCATCAAACACATTTTAATATTAGATAAAGATAACCTGAGTAAGCTGAATGATGATTTCATTGATAGAGGTAGAAAAGTTATCCAAAATAATTGCCCCTCTTTTTAAATCATGAATTAAAAGTGATTTACCACATTTTTTGAAAAGCTGAATTCAGTTTCATTAAACACACTCAGGCCTGATTACTGACAGACCTGTCTGACAAGGTGAAGCTGGCTAAAAGACTGTCAAGATCTAAAGAAAATGCTGAAAAACAAAGTAACTGACGTCTGTCAGTCTGTTAAGGGTTGCAAAGCTATTTTGAAGCCTTTGTAACTACGGTGAAAGCCATCATACACAAATAGAGAAAACATGGAACAGTAATTAACTGGAGTGACAGGCCTACCAGTATGACTCCAAGAGCAGATCTGTGACCTCCCAGCACTCATCCAGGAGGTAACAGAAGAACCCAGAACAACATTAAACATGTCCATCACATGTTCATGATTCAATAAGAAGAAAGAGACTGGACAAACATCTCATCTTGTGTTATCTTTGTCTAATATTTAAATTTGTTTGATGAGCTGAAACGTGTAATTGTGACAAACATATATAAAAAGGAAATCAGGAAGAGGGCACCACTGTATAACCTGATAAAATACATTTCATATACCTTTTACAGCACTATCAAAAGCTACTGGCCCACTGAAATAGGTTCAAATGATCATATAAAATGGACACTAATATTTATTTAACTTTTGATAACCTAATAAGGAAATGTTTACGGATGGCAAATTAGCTATAGATTCTTAAAACCTGGAACATATTTTTATTAAGTAAAATTATAATCTATTTCTTTAGCATCTTGTATTACAGGTTATTTGAAAAAAACAAACAAAAACAAAACAGAAACACGTTTTATTAATAAAAATGTAAAGCTTTAAAGTAAAGTTTTAAAATGACTTAATTTACTTCTTACATAACTACTGCATTTTCACACATGCATGGAGGAAATTAGGTTTCTAGTATGACAAAGCCAGCTGATTGGCTTTCAGCTAGCCTGGAAGCAGTAAAATAGGGCAATACTGTTTAGACAACAGAGAAAACTTGAAAACGTGAGAACATCAGTGGCTCATAAAAATTTCAAACAAGTATATTTTGTTCAAGTAAGCTTTTAAATGCAAATAAGCTTGTGTGTCTCCATAATGTTACTGATTGTACATTTGCGTGAAAGGTCGCTGGCCGGAGACACGGATCCTCTTTGAGGTTGTGTGCGGCGCTACCTGCTATGGTGACCGCTTGTGACAACAGAGCAGCTTTTCAACTATGCTAATAAATGAGTTTAACATTAAGGTTTAGCTTTTAAGGGATTTCATTTTCAAAGTACTGTATTAGATACTCATCTGTTTTAACATAAGCATAGCTTTTTTATAGGAAACATTAGAAAGAAACTACAGTAAAAACATGAACTTCAGCCCTGTTAGGCTAATAGGGAGTGCCAATTTGGATTGGAGCTTTAAAGTGCAATGAACATTTTCATTCAACCTTTGCACTGGAGTGTGGAGCTCTGCTACTTCTGCCTCTAGCAAGGGTTGACATATTTCAGATTCTTTATATATAGAAACGTGAAAATGCATTTTTATAGCAGAATGTTCCAGAGAGAATGCACAAAGCAAAAAAAAAAAAAAAAGCTAAACCAACTAACTAGGTTTATAGCTATTAGGTAGCATGCATGCACATTACAAAGTAGGGTGTTTAAAACAAATGCACAAGTAGGTTAAACACTTTACTATCTTATATGATTGCTACTCAATCATCTGAACAACACACACACTGCTTTCACGTCAAAGGAACTGAATTAGCTTATTCAATTTCTAAAGAAATAAAAATGTAAGATGAAATATTAGCTTCCTTCGGCATATTTTCATATTCTTCATAGATATTTTTTGCCAATTTAAGTGCTCCAGTCTCTGACTTTTAAGCAGTCTGAAGTAAAGACCCTCACTTGGGGCCAGGAAAAAAGTGCGTGATTTATGTTTGTATGCTTTTTCATTTTTTCATTAGTCAATTTTATCGTAATCAACATAAATTTGAAAAAAATAAAAATATCGGAGAGGCTTTTTGCTGTCTCCTATCATCAAATGACAACATTGTGTATAAACAAATAGGATATATTAAAGTTCTGGGAACAAATACGTTTCCTTAAAAAACAAAAAGAAAACACAAGGATTTTTTTTTCACATTTAAAGAGGTGTCGAAGATTTAGAAGAGCCAGCCTGAGCCACGCTCTCGAAAACACATCTTCAATTATACATGCAAGGGGCTCAAAATGTGTGTGTCGATGTGTGCGTGCCTGTGTGTACTGTGTCTAAATGTGTATCGAGCTGATCTCCTGAGTATAAGAACGCTCCCCTCGTTCGTTAGGCAGGACAGGAAACAGCAAAGCAACAATTTTTCCCTTGTTATAACCCCGGTGAAAAAGAAACATCTAGGCGTCTAGCTGTACAAAATCACTGTTACAGTCATCATGCTATATACACTTCTGCCAAACAAGCACTTGAAAGTCACCAGTACAACATCCAAATACAATGGTATTGCTGATGAGTGGGAAATAAAAATAGCCATTTAACTGCCTGCAAAAGCCTTTTTTTTCTCCTTTCAATTCCACGTGGAAGGCATAGGAGGAATGTTTTCGGTTACAATCTGTACAAATTTCTTCTGTACAGCAATACAAATGAGAGACGTTTGAAGACATTTTTGCATATGAACATTTTACAGTTTGCAACTTCCGTGTGTACAGAAGCCGTTTTCTCATTTTTCATGAATTAGGTTGAACATTCAGAGGATTTTTTTCTTCCTGAGTTTGAATTGCTGTGACCAAAAGTGTCACTCAGATATAGTGAAAGAAGAAACAGACAGAGAGAGAGATGCAGAGTGAGACAGAAAGAGGTAGAAGAGATTGAGAGAGACAGAGTGGCAAGGAGAGAAGAGGAAAAGACAAAGGCAGGAACTGACATACTGCTGGTATGCAGAGAGACAAAGCGAGCTGCAGTTTAGGTCCAATGAGGTTTGACTTTGAGTTGTGATGTGTGACACATGAAGAACAAAGTCTCCACTGTAGAGGTTGCTGCCGGGGCAAGTATAGCACCATCGTAAGGGTTTGGTGAGAAGTTCCACTCTGTCACGGTAATAGGAGAATTCCTGGAGAACAGTATTGCTGTTGTTAAGACAACTTTAGTGTCGACCGTCAAAAAAGATATAAATACAAACAAAGCTTGTTTTTCACTGAACACTGGCAGATGCTGACTGTCTCAACAACCCTGAGAGAGGGTTTGTCAGAAGAGCAAAATTAAATAATGAAAAAGAAAACAAAACAGAGAACGACCACTACTGAGTACAGTCCTTCCTCGGCTGCTCGTCAGTTGTACATTTGTCAGTCATTTCCTGGCAAAAATCCACCGTTACCGTCTGGTTGGATTTTTCCACCGGTGGCCCTGACTTTGTATACAAGCTGGTGGCGTCTTGGCCGTTTGTATCTTTGTCTGCCCTGTTTCTGACAGCCACGTCAGGGTCGCTCTCCGAGGGCCCGGGTGAACCGTGAAAGGTTGGTTCTGGTGTGGCTGAGCCCGAGTGGGTGGTGAGGTCAATGCTGGTGGTGGTGTTGGTGCTGAGGGAGGCCTTGGGCTCGTGGGCAGTGTTGTTGCTGGCAGTGGAGATGGCGGGGCGCAGCATGGGACAGTAGTGGTGTAACGACTGGACCTGCTCGGGGCTGAGCTGAACATCCCTGCACACCTCCTGTGACAGGCAGGAGAAGTTCTCCCACAACTCACCCATACATGCCTTTAGCTGGTTCCTCTCAGTCAGCAACTTCTCCTTCTCACACACCTACACACAGACACACATACATAGGTTATGACTCATTTCAAGATGCAATCGATAAGTCTGTGCACAAGAGTACAGCACTACAAAAAAGCTTTCCACTCATTGCCTGTTGAACTTTCCATTCATTCTCGTGCTTTTTACAAACTACTTTTTTCTCTTCTGTGCATTTTTGCGCAGCACTCCTCTTAGGATTTCTGTTTCAGTAAGGCAAATAGATGACAATCTCAGCCAAAGTCAGTCACTTAAACCTACAACTACAGCAATGAAAGACTGTGTCTTAAGTCAACCCCAACTCACCATGGCTTTTGGGCTGCTCCAGTCAGGCTTGAGAATGTTAACACTGATTTAACGCAGATTAGTGTACTAACACAGAATGAGTGAAGAACAAATACACACTCTGAGACAGGATGTTTCTAATTCTAGAGATATTGCCAAAATAGAAGAAAGCAGTCCTACATATTTGTTTAATATGCACACTGACGGACATATCCATATGGTCCCCTCAAAGTCTTCTTTTTGTGTTTCTTTATTTTGATCCTCAAACAAATCCAAGATTCCTCACGGTGTTCCTGGAGGCCAAGGTACTGCCATCCAGAGTAAGCCTGGTTAGATATTTAGGTACAATAACCTCAGTTTTATCTGAATTTAGATGCAGGAAATTAAAGGTCATTATGTGTGTTATCTGGCTTTGTTGATAGATACTCTGCACAGCAGAGAAAATGTATGCTATGCCTTCTAATGATAGAGTTTAAGAGAAGCATTAACGGAAGTCTATCATTAATTTTAGTATGTAAAGATAACACTCTATTTCTATGAAAAAATATAAGTCTGTTAGATAAGTATGATTTAAAACATTGCAGTCTGGTACCTTTAATACCAGCATGCTCTAATCACTCTAATAGGATATTATGGTCAATAGCATCGAAGGCTGCACTGAGGTGTAGCAGGACAAGCACAGAGACGAGTCCAATGTCAGGAGATAGATATCCTATCTGTTTGTGTGCGGCTACATTACATTATTTTGAACACAAGAAATGGTATTATGTGTTGTAATAGATGAACACAGAACCATAATTCATCTGTGATTTTGCTGATAGTTAATTATACTTCATTCCGTAATACTGATCTGGGGTGTCTGTAGGATGGCAGTGAGCGACACCAAAGAGCCACTGATCCAAAAGAATGTCTGACCTAAATGTATGATTTAATAAAAGAAATTGCACTGAATACATTGTGAACAGCAAACAAGGAGTTTTGAAGAGAACAATGTATTTGAATCAAAAGAGAATATGTAAAAATCTATGTAAGAATTAGCTAATGAAATCTAAGTAAGATTGCATAAACTGCATGAAAAATGAACTATATTGATATGTGACTGAATGCTCATATGTAACGGAATCTATAAATTTGAGAATAACACAGAAAAGATAAAAATATGATAAAGTGGTTTTCATGAAGTAACCTTTGCCCTAGTTAAAAGTGGGTGAAAGGTTGGAGATGGAGAAGCTGATAAGGTGTGGCTGGACATCAGGTGATTATATGTAAACAGCGTGATTGGATGTCCAGAGAGGAGGAAAGAGAAAGGGAGGCAAATGGACAAAAAAGTATAAAAGAGGGTGCCTAGGAACATCTTTTTTCGGGGAGTGGGGTGGGGGGGGTGGGGGGTGGGGGTTGTATAGTTAGTAAGTCAACACAACAAACATTGTCGTTAGAAGTGACACCCAGAAGGATGGCTTCTGTAGAAGAGGGATCCCTTGCAGAAGAACAGGATCAGCTCAGTTTAAGCATCAGAATATATAAACAGAAAGAAGACGGGGGACCACCGCAATCTGACTGCACAGAGAGAGTACAGCAGGGTTAGGGCTCCAGTGAACAGTCATTGGAGAGCAATGGTTTGAAAGTGCTGAGGAGAATAAAATGTTACTGATTATAATGAAATGGTTATGACTAAGGTGAGTCCGTGTCCAAAGAAGAGAGCAGCTTCTCACTGGGTGACGGCTAATGACAGTGTGTTAGAACAATCAATCCACTCACCAGCTTTCTGATCTCGCACTCCAAGTTGAGGATGCAGTCGAGCTTCCTCTTGCGACAACGCTGTGCTGCGATGCGGTTCTTACTCCGCCGCCTGATGTCATGAATAAACTCAAGTTGCTCTGAAGTCAGTTTGTGCATTTTCACCAGCATTTGGAAGTCATTCCTTGGAAGATTTGTGATTTGATCTACAGGAAAAGGAAGCTTGACCTGGCAAAATAAGGAAAATAAAAACACTGCGTAAAGGATAAGCATTTTTTCAGCTTTAAGACCAAAGACTTTCCAACTGTTGTATGGAGTCTGATATGTACCAAATTAATTATTTAACATTAGTTCTACATTCAGTTTTATTTTAAACTAGTATAAACTGACTGAATACTTTATGACTTTAATTAACTCATTTTAAACAAATAACCAAAATAGAAGAAAAGGCACAAAAAAGCTACTTTCAGCTGCTTCATTGCGACAGATGTTTGATTTGAGAGTTTTTACACCGGATGCCATTACTGATAAAACTCCAAAGGGGATTTATCTCGCTGGCTGGAATCAAATCAGCAACCTTTGCTTGCTAAGCAAACATGTTAATGACTACACAATTAAACAAATAACTAAGATTAAAGACTAAAATGAATGGATATGGGCAATGTTAGTTTGAAACAAATGAATTGTGAAAGAATATTATGCAGCCAACCTAATGAGTGCCATCTACTACAGAGACATTATATATAAACAACATAAAAAGTGTTACAGAAACATGCAACACTGTGGTAAAAAGGAGAAGAAATAAATGCTCTAGCAAATCGCTGGCTGTCTGAGTGGTGTCCAAAAAGCGATGTGGGCTTTATAGATAATTGTGAAACTTTCTGGAGGAAACCTGGTCTTGTTAGGAGAGACGGCATTCATCCATCACTTTGGATGGAGCAGCTCTTATTTCTAGAAATCTGGCCAAATTTATTAAACCCCCAAAACGTGACTATCCAGAGTTGGGACCAGGATGCAGAGTTGCAGTCTTACACGCCTCTCTGCAGCTTCTCTCCTCCTGTTATCCCCCCAAACCCCATCCCCTTAAAGACTGTGTCAGCTCCCAAACAGACAAAAAACAAACAAACAAAACAACAACAACAAATGATTTAAAGATTTAAAAAAATCACAAAGAAAGAACAATACAGTATCCACATCTGCACCACAGAGTAAAACAGTGAAATGTGGATTATTAAACATTAGGTCTCTCTCTTCCAAGTCTCTGTTAGTACATGACTTAACAATTGATCAACAAATCAATTTATTCTGCCTTACAGAAACCTGGTTACAGCAGGGTGATTATTAGAATTAGAATCAACACCCCCGAGTCATACCAACTATCAGAAACCTCGAAGCACAGGTTGAGGGGGCGGTGTGGCAGCAATTTTCCACACGAGCTAATTAATCAACCAAAGACCAAAACAGACTTTTAATTCACTGGAAAGCCTGATGCTTAGCTTTGTCCACCCCAGCTGGAAAACTCAAAAACCTATTGTCCACCTGAGCATTATTATTAGGATGTCCTAAAAACTCCTTGAAAAGCCTTCAGTTTATCCAAAAGCAAGAGTCCTGACAGGGACTAGAAAGAGAGAGCATATTTCTCCTGTTTTGGCTTCCCTTCACTGGCTCCCTGTTAAATCCAGAATTGAATTCAAAACCCTGCTCCTCACATACAAGGTCTTAAATAATCAGGCCTCATCTTATCTTAATGACCTGATAGTACCACATCATCCCATTAGAGCACTTCGCTCTCGCTCTGCAGGCCTACTTGTTGTTCCTAGAGTATTTAAAAGTAGAATGGGAGGGAGAGTCTTCAGTTTTCAGGCCGCTCTTCTGTGAATCCAGCTTCCAGTTTGGATTCGGGAGACAGACACTATCTCTACTTTTAAGATTAGGTTTAAAACTTTTTGCTTCCTTTTTGCTAAAGAATATAGTTCTCACTCACTATGTGTTAACAGACCTCTGAATCACTGAATCATACTTGTTATTAATCTCTGGCTTTCTTCCACAGTCTTTAATCCTGTCTTCCTTCTCTCACCCCAACTGTTCGCAGCAGATGGCCGCCCCTCCCTGTTCTGCTGGAGGTTTCTTCCTGTTAAAAGGGAGTTTGTCCTTCCTGCTGTTGCCAAAGTGCGCACTCATAGGGGGTCATATGATTGTTGGATTTTTCTCTGTATGTAATATTGTAGGGTCTTACAATAACATTTTATTTCTAGTTAATTATATCAATAATAAGGGCGCCCTCTGTGCTGCTGTTTGTTTCTAAGGTGATGGCTTAGAAATATGACTTAAAGCTCTGAAACTTTAAAATGGATCCATTGAAACATTTAACGTTGATGTGTCCTAGCCTAGCTGTGGAAATTGCTTGCTTGATTGTCCCAGATCAAAGTGTTCTTGCTGTCTTCTGGATTTGAGGAGCCGCAGCTTCGGCAGTGTAAAAGGGACTTTCCAACAGATTTTCTGTTTCCTTAATCACCTAATTAGTACATCCACATTTCCCTGACAATGTTAAAGAGATCTCAGATGGGATCCAAACTAGAGCAACTTGATGTTTCTATCACTTGGTATAGTTAGATCTGTCACTGGTCCTCTGCTTGTCCACTATCACTATGTCCAGTTAGTTAGCCATCAGCAGTGTTTCCTTCTCTTAGCTTGGTCATTCTTGGCCATGACCTCATCTAGTTGCAATAACAATTGCTTCTTTAACCAAAGAAACAATCAGAATCCTCAATGTTCAGCAGTGAGCTTTAGTTGTTTATAATATTTTTCTGGATGTTGGGTGTCGAAAAATCCAAAGATGACATCGCTGCTCTCGTCCCCAAAATAAAGGGAGTATTTGGCAGACATGACCTCCCAAAAACAGTTTGAAGTGACAACAGGGCACGCTACAGCTCATGAGAAGTTTGCAGAATCATTGGATTTTCAGCATGTCACAGCAAGTCCTCAAAGCCCCCAGACCAATGCTTCAGCTAAAAAGACAGTTTAAACTACAAATTGGATATGCACAAAACCCAGAGAGGACAACAAAGACCAGTGAAATACCTACAATCCCAGAGTGACCTCTAGAACAAATTGCAAGCAAAGAAAGCGGCATGCCAATGATGCCAGAGGTTTCAGTACAACAAAGATACCAAATCTTTGTTGTACTGAAACCACAAAACTACATGCTGGAGCGCATATCTGGGTACAGGAGCTCCCGCAATGCTTGTCTACCTGGACCCAATCACATCAAGCCCTAACAAGATATGTAATACAAGTAAATAAGTCCTTGATCTATAAATCACTGAAAGCAACACATACACATATAATACATGTTCAAAAAAAGGGGGGAAAAAAAGAAATCAGTTGTATTTGCATGTTATGTTTTCTTGTGATATACTAAGGTGGATCTGTGCTATGGTGGATCTTACTGTAGCTTGATGCGATAATATAACGCTGGGTAAACAAAAATGTGTAGGTGTAATAAAAGCTGGACCTGGATTTACTGGATAGACTAGAAGTCATGATACTTGGTGTTCAGTCCTGATGCCAGTCACTGGGACCCAAACCACCCTAAGGCTCCAAACCAGTGTCTGTCTGTGCCTATTTCCTGGAATATAAAACCAAAGAATAGCAAAAAAGCCAAGACTCTACAAAATGGGAGAAGAAAGTTTGTGGATCAAGAGTACCTGACCAAATCTCATGAAAAGAAAGACTCATACCAGCATAAAAAAAAAACACTTAAAGAAAACGGACTCCGTTCCCAGATGCTAGGGCTCGATGCTAGGTTTTTTCATTTACATTGGCACACCTGAGCCAATGGAGGAAAAAATGAAAAAGAGGGGAGTACCTTCAGATTGTCTAGGCGTTAAGAGCAACGTAAAAACTACAACTACGGGGAAACTGAGATATCACTCCTGGGAAACAGAAGATTTGACATCACGCCAGTGCTGATAGAGCCACATCAAGTAGAAGTTACGGGGATTTCAAAGAAACAAAGACACTAAGTGAGTGTTCCCTGTGTCTAACTGACACACCAATCAAGAAGGTTCGACGATTGTAATGTAATGTCAAAGAACATGATCACAAAGAAAGAACGAGAATAGCCAACATTTTCTGCTGTACTTCCCATGGTTTCATAGACCATACTAGACACTGTCAGTGCTACTCCTCAGCCTCCTATTAGCCATATCTATGGTATTAATTTCAGAATTCTATGTCGCCTTGTTCTCAAGTTATCACACTCACAAGGTTTTCGGAAAACTTACCCTGACCTTGAGGTCAAGATCACTGAGATTTGAACGTGTCCAGGAGTTTTAGTAAATGCAACTATGGTATCAATTTGAAGTTGAGTTATTACAATCATAAGATTTTCAAAAAACTTGACCTCTGACCTTTGACTCTTATTTATTTAGTTTTGAACTTGTGTAAGATTTTTTTTGTAGATGCACCTATAATAGATGATGTTACGTTGTTCTCAGGTCATTGCATTCACAGAATTAGGTGCCCACGCTGTCCACCCAGCAGGGTGACAACAATAACTCATTAGCCTTTTATGGCTGTGAGGTAAAAATGAATACATCGCCTACACTAATATTTCTTTTTTTAATCATGATTAGCTAATAAACCGCTTATCAGCAATAATTAAAGGAGAAATGACAATTGCGTCCTTTCTGTTATTGTAGGGTCTTTACCTTGAATATTAAGCATCTAGAGGCGACTGCTGTTTTCATTTGGGGAGAGCAAGAATCAAGGATTAAATTTCAGGCATTAGGGCTACATACGGATACAGGGGGGATGTCTGTGCTTTGCATGGAGGATTAGCACAGAGAAGCACAGCTGTGCATTTTGACTCACTGGTGTAACCCTAATTGTGAAGTATTTAGATCAAAGATAAATAAATATAACTTTCCAGTCTTTATTGGGACTGGAAATAAAAGCTTCCAAGAACTTATCTATCTCCACTGCAACATCTTCAGGCATCTAGTAGAAAGAATCCAATAACTTAAAAGCTGAAAGAAAAGCATGATAATTCCACTGGGTGGCATTTGACACAGTTTACCAGTAAAAATGCATAAATGTATAGTATTACATAGTTTACGGTTAACATGGAACACCGGACTGTTTCCTTAGGAGACTTAAGACTGCAAGTACGTGAAAGTACTTGGATATCATACCAGTCTGGGACAGAATACTTAAAAAACTAACTT